TCCTAATGCCAGCCACTGAACTCCCAAGCTCTGCTCGTCCACGCCAATTACGACTGACTGCGGGGACAACTTCAAAGTTCCATTGACATGGATAACATTTAACGAGAGCACAAAAGCACAGCGCAACGATACTTTATGGGCTGCTTATCGACGAAACCCGTAACTACAGAGGGTGCTGGTGCATAAGTGTCTTAATGTAATATTGTGGAACACAGTGGAACCCGGAATGGGGGATTGTCTGAATGACCGAAACTCGAATTGCTGCTCATATGGGGGCAGAACATTTGTATCTGAATATATATGTATTTAAGTATGTTTCAATCAGCGTGCTCACAGCTGAACATCTATTCGATTTTGGCGTTGATAATTGTGAAATTAAAATTTGATTGGCTATTGATAAAGGGTTAATCAATAGCATAAACATAATGTTTGTCGGTCTGTCTACAGGCGCCCGCATGAAGAGAGAAGCACTCACTATAACTGATTTCATTTTGAGTGTAAATGTTAATCAAATTAGCCACAGACGCAATCAGTGTACACATTGTTATTGCATTATTATTTATTTGTTGCTGTTGAAAAATCATTTTTCTATATTTAACAAATCTCCCAGCCAGCAGATCTGATCTCCTCTGTTCAGTTCTGTTCTGGTCAATACTCAATGCAGTTTCCCCCTGTTTGCAGTTAATCATTTATTTATTTCTTTAATCCTTACTATTGCTGTCAATAGTTTTGCAGCTCTCAACACGTTTTGGCTGCGCAGCTGTTTGACTACTGCTGGAGTATCCTGTTCGCAGGATTAAATGCGGTTTATCGAGGGCGTGCCAGTTGGGTTGGTCTGCATGCAGCATGTGTGCTGATTTTTGCTTTATTGTGGCATTTAATCCGTATTAATTTTCAATAAGTGCAATGAGGTCTTATAAATGTTTGATAAATGACTCAGCAGAGGCGGCCAAGCACGTGACTCGAAAGCAGCTGCTGCCCAGTTGAGAGCTTGAGACGTAAGGGGAAGAATTGCATGGAAGTGGAACTTATCTGTTTTTATATAAGATAACAAATATTTCATTTATTATTAATTGTTTTCTGACAAAATATTAAAGTTTATAAACGAATTTGTAAGCAATTGCAATGTAGTTTATTCAGTTTTTAACTATTGTCATTTTTTTAATATTCTATTTTTAAAATTGATTTCCATTGCATACTTTCAGGGCTTGAGTCTAAAATATTCCGAGTGTACATTTTCATTGCATACTTTTAAGCGCAATTTAATGTTAAGTTAACATGAAAGTCTACATAGCCAAACAACTGAGCTTAACAGTCAAATTTTCGAATTCTAACAGACAACTTATATTAATAATAAACTGCAGTAATATATGTAAGTAAACAGAGACTTTTTTTATTGCTTGCCAACTTTGTGCAGTTCGTGCATTTGTTATGCAGCAGTTCGTGCTGCATAAAATCTTTTTGCCGACACGAAAACTGATGTAAAACATTTGTAAAATTTCATCAGCCACAAAAAGTTTTCCCACTTGCATTGCGCTGCATCGTGTTTGTTGGCTTTGCCAATTGTTGTTGCTTGTGTTTGTGTTCAACAAAGTTTTACTTAGCAAACACCAAGTCTCTTGTACACAGGGGCAGCTGATGTAACAGAGATGCTTCGCTGCAGACTTCTTTAATTAAAGAGCAAGTTTTCAAAAACTGTTGAGCAAACTGCTTGTTGCTTGCTAGCTGATAAGAGATAAGCGAAATGAGATATTTTGACTTTGACTTTGTACTGCAACAATGAATGTGGCAATAGCTCTCTGTCTCTATAGAGAGAGAGAGAGAGAGAGGCAGATAGAGCTAAAGACAAATGACTTAATTCGTTAACATAATTGCCCCATTATAAATTCTGATAAACACTTCAGACAAACAATGCTCTAGACTCTGATTATACACATATATATATTTATTTATTTGTAGATATACATTTATATATGACTCGTGACTCTCTTGCCAACAGGTGCAGCTGAGGTCGAGACTGATCAAACTTTTACCTGACCCCCTACTGCCATTGACATTGTCTGTAAGTTGAGTTTGTAACTTTGCGGTTTTCCTACTTTTCACTTACAGTTGTATATATATATATATTTGATGTACATATATATAGATATATAAGTATACTACATATATTTAATTTATGCCCAACTTTTCGTGTGACCGAAACAATAAATCTAACTAAATGCAAATAAATTAAAGGCACAAAACATTGCAGTTGAGTTTAAGTGACTGTTAGATATGCTGTTAACCTGACACTAAGTAAGCCCCCGAGACTTAAAGACTTCTATATATATGCTCTTTGTTATTATATAACCATTAGTCTTTACGTTCATTCAAATGCCCAGCAATTGTGAGTCTCTTACTGATGAGATCCATTAAAGTATTTCGCCCATCGGCTAGATCGTTTAACCTATTGTCAAGTTTAACAATTGTTTATTTTTATGACAAGTCAATATACTCCTTTGACAAGTTTGTTTGCGGGGTATAGAAGAGTTTGAATGCTAAAGGCGCTGCCCAAATGAAAGGCAACTGGTTCTGGTTCCGTCTCGAGCTTTGATTCGATTTCTGGTCACTTGAAATGCTTTGAAAGTCAACTAGGAACAAACACACAACACATAATACACACACACACACACACACACACATAGACACGCACAGAGACAATGCCATTGAAAGCAAATCTGTTGATTTGTTGACTGCAAGCGGATGTGACATATGAAAAGATACGATGAGAATTAGCCCAGAGCCACGACTAGAGCCACAACAGAGCCAGAACCAGAACTCGGGATCATTTCTAGACAATTCGCCTACATATATCGCTTGTGCACAGATTTTTTGTTTTTTGTTTTTTATATTTTAAAAGTGTAGAACCTGTACAATCAAATTTAGTACCTTAACAACACATGTATATATATGGAATTAGAGCCAAACCAGTCATAATATGAGGAATTAAAAGGAGACAGTTTACAGCATTCCCATCGTTCTGGCTAAGCCTTGCCGTTTAAGACGTCTTAGGGGTCTGGCAGGGATTAGACCTCTTGCAAGTAGGCTTCGGTGTCGTTGCAGTCTGTCCGTGTATCTGCTTGTGTGTCTTCCAATCTGCTCTTCGACAGTAAACAGCTTAAGGTCTCTGTGAAGTATTGAGCCGCGTACATACCAGGGAGAGTTGGTTATCTGTCGCAGTACTCGGTTCTGCAAAACCTGAACCCGCTTATAATTAGATTTGGCAGCAGTTCCCCAGATTTGCACTCCATAGAGCCATATCGGCAGGATACACTGCACGTAGACAGCTCTTTTGCATCTCAGCGGCAAGGTGCTCTTTTTATTGATGAGCCATCGCAGTTGCTGCTGTCTGTGACGGCATTTTTTTACCGCAGCTTTGAGGTGTGGCCCAAAGGTGAGACGCCTGTCCAGTGTGATTCCAAGATATTTCGCCTGTGCTGGTTGCTGTAGTGTTATTCCCGCCAGCTGGATTGGGGGAGTATGCATTGGCAGCCTTTTTAAGGTGAAGCAAGGGTTTAATGTTTTTAGCGGGTTGACTTTTAGATTCCATCGTATGCACCAATCAGCGAGAGTATCAAGATACCTCTGTAGTCCATAACTTGCCTCAATAGGACTTTTAGAATTATAGATGATTGCAACATCATCAGCATAAGTTGCAATGAGGGCCTTCGAGGGAGCATCCATATGTTGAAAGGACGGGCTAGGTATATCTGAGGTATACAAGGAGTACAGCAACGGACCAAGAACACTACCCTGCGGCACTCCTGCTCTCATAGGATATGTGGACGAAAGTGTATCCTTTACCTTGACTTTAAACTCACGGCCTTCTAGATAAGACCTTAAGAGGCCATAGTACGGGGCAGGTAGAAGGTTTTTTATTTTGCACAGCAATCCATCGTGCCACACCTTGTCAAACGCTTGCTGCATGTCAATGAAGACAGCGTTGGAGTATTCTGAGTCATCAAAAGCCTGCAGGATGTGTTTCACCAACCTGTGAACTTGTTCCACTGTTCCGTATCCCTCCCGAAATCCAAATTGGTGATCCGGTAAGATATTAGACTGTCTTATAATGACATTAATGCGATTGGCAATGGTCCGCTCCCAAAGTTTAGACAGAGCGGGGAGTAGGCTTATAGGCCGATATGATTCTGGGTCCTCTTCCGGTTTGCCCGGCTTTTGTGCACAGATTATCATTATTTTTAATTTAATTCATTTTTGCTAAAATGTGTTTTATTATTCAGATTCATGCTCGCCCCTACAATTAAATGCTCGGAGAACAGCTGTTGTCCAAGCATTGATCTATGGGGCATTACATAACACGATCCGATCTCGGGGCGCATTGTGCGGTGCTGCGGATAATGGTGAATGGATATTAGATAGTGTCTAATGCCCAGACAAAAGGCTAGCAGAATTATTTTTGAATTATTTATGATTTAGTTAGACGGAAGCATTCGAATTTGGCTGCTCTTTAAGCCGGCCATGTGTAAAGTGCCTCCGACTTCGATCTGTCCAAGTAGATCGTATCGAACTGGAATGCCTGTTCCCTTAACGTGATATGTGGCCATGACTTTGCTCTCGACTTGTTAACAACCGATTAGCCGCGACGCACCTGAACGTGTTTCTGTTCTAGAGCTTAGCTTGTCCTTGAGCGCTCCACAGTTCTGGGCACTTTCAAAATAACTAAGCCAGATCAAAGCTTTTACATTTTATTATGTTCCTTAACGTAACTTAGCACAGCTATGAGATCATCTATTCACTGTAAGCTGACTTCGTTCAGCTTTCAAATAACTTTTAGACACATTCCGCGCCAGACATTAAAAAACTGCAATCCATTTGAATAATTCGCAAATATCACAATTCTTTATTATAAATTTGGACTTTTTTTCCTTAATATATTCACACACACATATATATATATATATATATATATATACAATACATTCCACTTAAATGCTATGAGTACAAATACTTTGCAACAATTTGTGTAGAGAGCGCGCCTAGGTTCTTCGATGCAAGCCGCAAGCCACGCTCAAGAGCAAGGCTAAAGTCCAGCTGAAGGTAGTGGCTGGACTTGGAGCTGAGTTCTCTGCGGCGGGCAGACGAGCAACCACGACCAGCTGCTGCTCGTTCAGCGTGGGCCTAAAGCTCCAGTCGATGGCATTTGTCTTGCAAATGTTGGCATAAACTCGCGCCGAGATCTTTGGGGTGCGCGTGCGTTCGGGCACAGTGAAGTCTACGTGGTAGAGACCGAACTTCTCGGTGAAGCCAGCCTTCCACTCGAAGCTGTCCATCAAGCTCCAAGCGACGTACCCGCTGACATTGGCGCCATCCTCAATGGCGTCCAGCACGGCGGACAGATAGAGATTGTAGTAGTCCACGCGGGCGTAGTCCTCCAGGCCGCCGCGATCGCTGACGCCGTTCTCGGTGACAATGATCTCGGGTGCATTGTACTCGCGATGTATCCACATCAGCAGATTGTACATGCCCTTGGGATAGACCTAAGGTAGAGGCAGACGAAGAAGGGAGTTTGTGTTGAGCAAATCTGACTTGTGGTTCATTGAACCTGCCACCTGCCACCTGCCACCCTCCGCTCGAATCAACCCCAATTTTAATCTTGGCTAAGTAGTCGAAGCCACCCTTCGAGAGCTCGTCCATTATTCACTGCTCAAATCCAATTGTGGCCAGCCCTGGCCGCCCAACCCACTTGAGCATTAGCTCATCCCAGCTAATTAGCGAGTCCGACTCGTGACCCGTTCCCCACTTAATTATAATTCGCAGCTGACTTACCTTAAGCCAAGCAGATCCAGAGCCGGGCCAGTCCACGCCAGCTTGACTCTCGACGACGCCCATATCGTGATTGAACGAAGGTATGGGAAATTTGCCAGTGTTGTTGTGCCCATTGGACGTAACCAGGTTGGAGGTGTAGGTGTTGATGCCAAAGAAATCGGAGGTGCCCCTGATGCGATGTATCTCCTCGGTGGTAAACTCGGGCAGGCGCGAACGTGCTCCGAAGCCTTGCTGCTTGCTCAGATTGCGAATGCGCTCGATCATGACCTTGGGGTAGTTGCCATGCTTCGAGAAGATCGGATGTGCAAACCAGCCAACATAGAACTGCATGGCGCGCTCCGAGGCCTCGCGATCCTCAGCTGAGTCGGGATCGCGTGGCTCCGGCCAGGATGTGTCAAGGGTAATGCCAATGCGTCCACCCTGGCGCTGCTGGAACTCGTCGCGATACATGTGCACCACCTCTGCGTGCGCCTTGAGCAGATTGTGAGCGCACAGGTAGGCGGGAATGCCTGGGTGGTTATAGGCAGGTGCCATGAAGTCCACGCTATAGGCTTGCTCGCAAATGTGCCACGGCTCATTGATGGTCGTCCAGAGCTTGACGCGATCGCCAAACATCTCCAGCACCAAGCGGGCATAGTCCTTGAACAGGGGTATAATCTCCGGGTTGGTCCAGGCGCCCATCTCCTGCAGCCGTTGCGGCAGATCCCAATGATAGATCGTCACCATGGGCGTAATGTTGTACTTGAGCAGCCCATCGATCAAGTTGCTGTAGTATTTAATGCCCGCAGTGCTCACATGGTTCATGTAGCCACCGGGCATGATCCTGGGCCAGGAGAGCGAGAAGCGATACGTGGTCACATGCAACTCCCGCACCATTTCCACATCGCGTTGCCACTGCAATCAAAGAGAATTGTTCAATTGTTGGTCAGCTCAAGTGCAACTGGAAGTGGGCAAGAATTTTAAGTATTTCCGAAAATAAATAGAAAAGCAAAACCAGTTGACCCCAAAACAGTTTGGCGACATATGCAAACCACCATATGGTCATATGGTCATATGGAGCTTTGATTAGATCTGATTTGATTTGTTGTTGTTGTTGTTGTTGTTGTTGTTTTTGTGCTTTTGATTTGTTTGTTAACGACGGGTATATGGCTAATTGTGTGCCTCGCATTGAAGCAACAATTCGTTACGGTAGCTGTTGGCCTACGACTACGGCTCGTACAATGGGGGAGGGGCATTTACCTTTCAGCTGAGTATGCTAAACACCTGGCTCCAAGTGGCATAAGTGGGCATATTATGCCAGAGTGGCGTGGCATGGCATGGCGCGGCATGCCATTAAGATCAGCTCGCATTCATTCATGTCTTGTGCCAAATCGATTTATCAATAATTAAATATAAGTTAGACGACTTGGCACTCAGTCAATCTCTGTAATCTCCACTTGACATGCCCGATGACATTGCCAGCAGCGCATGAGCACAGTGCAACGTGAATCAGGTTTCGCAGAGGGTTACATATGTTATGCATTCATATTCATATTCGTATTCATATTCATATTTATTCTGTTCATAAGCTAACCTCTAAAGTAACCCTGACCGCCTCGGCGCGAAATCTAGCATATCTAGCATATCTTTGTCGAGATCTAAGAAATCAGCAGCCGTTCTAAAAGATTCTAATCACAAGTTTCTTAGATTAGTTTTAACAGCAGGATACCAGCTGAGAATGAGTTCGAATTCCAAGCTAGGGTTGTCTTGGCCAAATACGGCTTGCGAGTGGCCAATGCTGTTTAGGAATTGTCAATTCGATCTATCAATCTCAATCTATCTCTAAGCAGAGTAATTGCAGTAGGCAGCTATGTTTTCCAATTAGCCACGCCCAGCTGAGCGAACCATATAATCTATAGTTCTTTCTGTTGAGCACGTCAACTGCTAAACTGGCTCTAAAACATTGTTTGGACCACGCCCCAATGACCGAGTCCATATCATTAAAGAAACTTCTAGTTGAGCGTGTTATACTCAATTCCGAGTCTCCACCACCATAAATAATATTTAAAATAATATTTGCATTGTAAAAGATAAAGTATCTTTTGATTTGCCACGTTAACAGTGGGCGTAGCCATAAAATCTTCGCATTTGACTAGACTAGAAGCCAATTTACTCTTGCTGGTGTCTTTTTAGTTTCGCTGTCAGTGAGAACTGTTCTATTGTATTTAATTTAAGCTTGAGACTTAAGACTTGCTTATGAGCTATACTCAGGTCTGCTAGCATTTCTCACTTAAAGTTCTACATTAAAAAATAGTTTAAATTTCTTGAGGATTTTAGAACTCGAACTCAAATTTTAAGCAATTCTCAAGTGAGTTCTTTATGTATCTAAATATCATAAATTCTAATTGAACTCAGCTCCAGCCTTAGTACATTTTTATGGCTGTTTGTACAGATTGATAATTGGCCATTCATTAGAGACCAATTCATAAACCAAATCAAGTGTTTAATCTGCAAGACAGCGCATTGATAGAGCCAATTAGCGCCAACTTATCAGTGTAGCATGACAATTAGTGATCGTTTGTCATAGTTATTAAAGTTCGTTCGAGTAACTAACTAGCAGCAGATGTCAGTAGAACGAACTGCAGCTGACATAGCTGAATTTGCATAGTTTACTCGATATTGAACATATATCGGATTCAGTGACACAGGTAAATCAGACACCTGTGCACCCAGACAGCTAGAGTGCGAGAGCCGAGCTTCGACAGCTGCTCAGACTTTGTTTTCAGCACAGATTATAATGCTGATTAATGAATTGAATGCGTATTATTTATGACTCGACCAGTGGCTGGGGAAAATTTGAAGTGTGGGCGAGGTAGCTGAAGTCTAATAGGTCCGCTTCGCTACTATTATTATTATAGTTCCAGTTCGATTACCTCAACTGTAACCCTTGAGCCATGATGCCACCGTCAATCAATTTCGTTGTTGTTGTCTCTATGGCTTACCTGATGATAGCTGTCCGATGATATATCTCCATTCGACTGATCGGCTATCTTCTCAGGACTCTTGTGTGTCATATAGTCCCATATCGACTCGCCCTTATTATCTTCATTCCAGCCACCTTCAACTTGATACGAGGACGAACCAACGCCCCATAGAAAATCATTAGGGAAATGTCGTCTATTGCTCGACGGAGTGCGCAAGTTGCTGTTTATGAAAAGAAGATGAAAGAGATTTAGAAATATATTATAGAGGGATATGTCAAGTTTGTGTCAACACACAAAATGTGAGCTGTTTCTATGGTCAGCATCGAATGCAGATTGAGCTTCGCCTTGTGACTCTAGCTCAGCTGCAACCCTTTGAGCATTCTATTGCTGCAGGCAGCAAACACAAGGGCTAATTATTCTCATGTACAGATGATATCTATATTCAGTTGAATTATGTTTCCTTGTCAAATTTCGGCGTTCGCTTTGTAAATTGTAATTGGTCTTCTGACGACCTTTCTACATAACAATATACATAAGTTTCTGTTGATTAAAAGCTGTCCACAAATTAACACGTTTCGATACACGAAATGCGAGCAGGTTGGCTGGCTCTATATAGAGTCATATATATCAACCTATATAAAGTTCAAGCTTTGGCAATGAGCTGTTAAATATGTTGCTAATTCTTTTAAAGAAAAAAACCAGCCAAACAAAATTGTTTGTTGTACAACAAATATATGTATACAATTTATAATTTACGAACAAGTTGTGCCTCTCTTTAAATTAATAACAACAATTGCATTTTATGACTTTAAAAATGTGATGCAGCTGCGAATAAGCAGCATGTCTGCTTGCAGTCGAAATTAAGGTCAGTATTGAGAAGTGGATGTGCTAAGTAATTCAAATGAAGCTTTGTCTAATTTCGGTTTTAGCTGATCGGCTTCGATCCGCTCAATAGTTGACTGATTTCATACACTTACGCAGCATCGGTGCAGCGACTGCTCTGCTCCAGCATCAGAGCCAACAGCACGCATTTGATTAGCTTTAGCCACATATTAACTATTTGAGTATATTTATATATTTATATATTTATATATTTCGATATTGTGTTTCACACTTGATCCTTGGCACTGCACTTGACACAACTCTTCAGCAACTTCAGCGTTACAATTCCGTTGACTACTGCGAGTTGGCACTTGACGCGCGCTTCAAGTCTTTGCCCTGCCCGTTTGAGCCCGTTAGCGAAACGTTAGCGAATGATTGCGGCTGCTTTTATATCCTAGCATTTAAAGCATGCGAACGCCCGCTGCGCACTGCTCACGAGATAAAAACAAAACAAAACAAAAGAAAAATCGACGAACGTTCAAAACTCACCTCCGAACGAGTTGAGCTCAGCGGCAACAGGTGCGCTTGTTGTTGTTGCTGGGGCTAGTTATATTCTTATTGTTTTTGTTTTTTATATTTAGTTGAGTTTTTGTTTTGCCGGTAGCTTGCTGGCTTAGTGAGATGAGCAAGAAATCCCCGATCGGACGACGACAAATGCAATTCACGCAATGGGCGTTGCGTTTCCAATGGAATTATTTAAGTTTGTCATCATCTGGTTTTGGTTTTTTTCTCTCTTATGAATTTCGCGTGCACTCTCAACTATAAGCATTAGCAATAAATTCATTTGGATTATAGATGTTAGTATTAATTGAAATGAAGTGCTTGTTATTCAAATTCGATTTGAATATGGAATAGCCCTTGCTGTAGACCTAATTGTTAAGCCAATATTCTCGTGTCTCACACTTTTCCAATTGATTTCACTTGCCTTTTGTTTGAAAACAGACGAAAACAGATTTCTGTTTAAACAAGTGCAGATACCTACATCAGTTGCTCAGATAACAAATGATATGTGGAGCATGAGCGAGCCAGCGAGCGAGTGAGAAAACATGTTGCAAAGCAATTCAATCAACGGACTTCCCTTTCGCTGAGATAGCGAAGTAGTCATCAAGTTCTACTCCCTTATCATTTGCCTAAAAAACAACACAACAACAAACAGACACATTCAGCAAAGTTCATAAATTATATGAATCTAAAATGTTTACCTGATGCCTCTGCAGAGCTTAATCTGGGCTTTACCCAAGCCACAGTCCCATCGAGCTGATAGAATTAATAACAGTGGTCAACAGGATTTAGTAGCCATGGCGAACTGAATACAAATCTTAAAGCAGAATAGCTCTATCTAATAGAGATTTGAGGAAGATTGACGAGGTCAACTGTAGGTCAAATGTTCAGGTAAATTCAACAAACGAAAAAAGCTTCGGGGGTAGTAATAGTATTTTCAGATGTATTATTAACTGTCATGAGTTGGATATTCCATTTTCAGACTCGTATTCGGTACGTGTTAAATAGTTAGCAGCGTTTAAACTGATTCTTGGTTATCATGTTTCATAACCTGTGTCATCAACGCTTGCCCTTACCTCCGCCAGTGGCTTTAAAAATACTCAATTTGTTTCAAGTCTGTTATATTTTTAGCTTGTTTCTTAACACACATGCTTCACATATATATAAACTTTTAGGGTAAGCCAAAAGAGCAGCTGACCGATGGCCACGCCTACATATTCAGCTGTATTCCAAATAAAATGCATTGCATTTTGGCAAATCATATTAAGCCGAAAAAATTGTAATTTTTCAGTCGAAAATCTTTCGTTCGCAGATAAAACATTTGTTTAAATGTATGAATAATTGAAAATTTCTCCGATTAACATACCATTTGAATTTTGATATGATTAATGATCATTTAGCCTAGCCAAGTCTTATTTCATTGGTACCAAACGCATTCAACCGGTTTCCAAAGCTTGTGGTTTTTCTACACGTAAAGACGATTTCAAGTGGAAGCTGACTTAAATGAGTCATAATTGGCGGGACAAAAAATTAACAAGAGCAGAACTTGAGACAGTTAAATACACGCATCGACACAGTAAAGACGTCAATACTGACATTAAAAAAACCCACAAGTTTGAATATACTAATTAAAAATGTTTTTCCCTTGGTAAAGGGGCTACAAAAAATGCTTACTCATAAATAGAAACGTTACTAATTCTAGATTATTGTGACAATGCTTGTGTAACTAATTTGACTATCCAATTCGCTCTGATTTGAAATTACTGTTGCGCGCAACATAAACATAAATATCGAAATGTCAATCAATAAATCGATGCAACCGATGCTAAATGTACTTTTAATTCCAATAACAAATCAACATACAGTAGCCCTCTGCATGCATGTATGTATATGAATACTTTCAGGTCAATGCATGCTAACTTTATTCAATCAATGGTATATTTTTCTAGTACATGTTCTTTTCAAATACCGCGCTTGTTTTGTTTTAAATTTAAATTATAAACTCTTATTGTCATTGCTTATTGTCATTGCTAGTCCCAGAAGTAGAGCTGAAACGAACATCGATGTTACTGTCGATACATCGATGGTTTTGTATTTTTGGAAAACATCGATGTCTGGCCGGCACTATCGATAGTTTCTTTTCTTTTCAAATCTGATGGCGGCAAAAGCATGTGAGTAAACTTTCTTCATATTTTTTTGCATACAACATATGTATATATTAAAAGAGTGGTGTTAATTGAGAGATCTGCGGAACGGACATAATAATGGACAAGTACCTTCATACCTTTAAATATGTTTGTATATACATATGTGTATATATGTTTATATACATTGTTGATCAACTTCTTCACTAATTCCTCCGGTGACATTTGTGAGTTAGCTTGTGCCATCCTGCGTTTGTCGTAATTAGCTGCTCTTTCTTTTCGTTTTATTTTATTGATTTGTGAAATTTGTCAACTTATTTTTAGTTTGTCTTTTTACAATGATCGATTTATAAATTAGTCAACTTATTTGTAGTTTGACGTTTTACAACGATCGATTCATAAATTAGTCAATTTATTTTAAGTTTGACTTTTAAAATTAGTCAACTTATTTTTAGTTTTAATTTTTACAATGATCGGTTTATAAATTAGTCAACTTATTTTTAGTTTGACTTTTTACAACGATCGATTCATAAATTAGGCAATTTATTTTTAGTTTGACTTTTTGCAATGAGCGATTTATAAATTAGTCAACTTGTTTTAGTTTACTTTATTATAATGATAGATTTAAAAATTATTCGACTTAATTTTAGTTCGCATTTATCACTGAATCCGTATTTTTTTAAAGGATCCTACCGGCTGCGCCAATTTTGTTTTAATTTTAAATTATAAAACTCTTATTGTCATCGCTGGACTTCTTCATTCTAGTCCCAGAAGTGAACTGAACTTTATTAATTTTTCTTCTTATTGCTAGTCAATTTTGCAATGTTGCTAGACTATCCTGAGGCCAGAATAGCATTGCTGTTTTCTAAGAATTTTAAGTTCATAATGTTGCTCAATCTTTCATCATGCTTCAACTTGTGTACATTAGGTATGAACTTTGTTTGTTCATCTCTTATTGATGACAAATTGCTTAAAAATATGCCTATATCGATTAATATATGTTAATGTATTATGAGAAGAGTTATTCACAACTCGCGATCATCATTCACTATAGGCGCACATATCGATACTGAATGAAAAATATCGATACTAACGAGGTTTTTTAATTATCGTTACTAGGCATCGATGCCTTGCATAGCGAAAACATAAACAATTGGTAACACGTGCGCGGCTTTTACAAATTGTTCATAGAAAATGGAATTATTCACAGTAAATCGGTAATTAAAATCAATTGATATATTGTAAGTATGCATTTATTTATATTAAACGTACACAGTTACACCGAGGAGCAGAGCAAAGTGATACATGGAAGCGGCGAGACTACGAATGAAGATGACATTTTACAAAAGCTGCTGCACAAAGCAGAAAAGCGTAAACGAAAACATAAAAGCAGCGAGACAGCAGTAAAAGAAGCTAAAGCAGAGCAAAAAGACAACGAGGAAGAGACAACTGTGCAAGCAGTGGATGCAGCAGAGCCACAGATAGGTAAAACGTCCACAGACCCTGAGGAAACGGAAGAACCTTCAAATGATTTCCAAGTGGTCGGAGCAGATGCCTCAGCGGCTAAGAGACAAAAAGTGGAAATGGTATTGCCGGCTTGGCTGGCGCATCCTACAATTATCGAAGGAGGTAGCCTGCAACCAGATGACAGTACCGATGCGGAAGCAACTGCCACATCTATAAAAAAACTGCCCTACCTGGAGAAATACACCTGCAGTGCACTCAAGCAGATGAAGATCAGTCGCCTCTTTCCCGTGCAGACAGCCGTTATACCTTGGATATTGGAGGCGCAAGCCAAGCCGGAGCCGTTTCGACCGAGAGATATCTGCGTCTCAGCACCCACAGGCAGTGGAAAGACATTGGCTTTTGCCATACCCATTGTACAGCTGTTGGCCAAGCGCGTGCAATGCAAAGTACGCGCTTTAGTGGTGTTACCTGTAGCAGAGTTGGCACTGCAGGTGTATAAAGTTTTCAGTACACTGTGCAGCATGACGGAGCTGGAGGTGTGTCTGCTATCCAAGCAGCATCGCTTGGAGGATGAGCAGGACAAGCTGCTGGAGCAGTATAAAGGTGTCTACTACTCCAAGGTGGACATTGTGGTCACTACGCCAGGTGAGTTGTAAATTTGGATTCTATAAACGAATCTTTAATTTGAATTTTAAAATCGTAGGTCGCCTGGTGGATCATTTACATGCAACCAAAGGCTTCTGCCTGAAGTCGCTGAAATTTTTGGTCATTGACGAGGCGGATCGTATTATGGACGCTGTCTTCCAAAACTGGCTCTACCATTTGGATTCACATGTTCGTACGACAGCTGATCAACTGCTAACAGGTGTGCAGGCGCCGCTTTGCTACCAGGAGCTGCTCAACAGCTACGGCAAACAGCCGCATAAGTTGCTTTTCTCAGCTACGCTCTCCCAGGATCCCGAAAAGCTACAGAACTTGCGTCTGTTTCAACCCAAGCTCTTCACCACGGTGCTCACCATGCCAGTTCTACAGCCTGCCCTTGACCACGGAGAGTTGGCCGATCAGGCCAGTAAATTCATTGGCAAATATACAACGCCTGCAGAGTTAACAGAGCAGTACTGCTTAACGGAAATGCGACTCAAGCCACTTACCCTGTATGCCATGGTGTGCTCGAATAATTGGAAGCGGTTTTTGTGCTTCGCGAATAGTACCGACACAGCCAGCCGTTTGACCTTTGTGCTCAAGCATCTGTTCAAGGATTCAGGCACAAATGTGGAGGAGTTGTCCGCGAGTATGTCGGCTTCGGTACGAGGCAAACGTCTTTCGGATTTCGTGCGTGGTTCTATTCATGGCCTCGTCTGCTCGGATGCATTAGCACGCGGTATTGATGTGCCCAATGTGGACATTGTAGTCTCCTATGACGCACCTCGTCACATAAAGACTTACATACATCGTGTGGGCCGTACGGCACGTGCTGGTCAGAAAGGCACAGCCATAACACTGCTCACGGACAAGGATCTAGCACATTTCAAGAAAATGCTTTATGAGGTGGGCAAAACCATGGGCGAGGAGCTAATCATCTCACCGGACATTGAAGTCGAACACGCTGTCATCTACAAGAGCGCTCTAGAGGAGCTGCGCTGGCGCCAAGAGAAACGAAAGAGCGCAATCAAGGTGCAGAAGATGATCATTTCACGTAAAGGAGCTGTGCACCAGAAACCGGACGAAGAATTGACTTTAATGGAGAAACTACAGCGCAAAGCGGGCGCCGAAGTGGTGTCCAAAGTGCCAAAGGCGGCGAAACATGCCATCGCAAAGACCGTGAAACGGTCTAAGTTGAAACGCAAACCTATTAAAAAGTAAAAAAACAATTTTCAGGATGTAAGTGGGTAAAATTGCCATTAGGGAATGTTCAATAAAATGTTATATTATACATATGAAAAGAGCTTAACCTCAAGTGGAAACTTCAGAGCATTTTTATAGAATTCAGGGACTCTGCATAGAGTATAGTGGAAATATGAGCAAGAATCTTTCGGATATGATAGATGTTGCTCTACAATAAGTGTGGCGTTGGGAAAAGTAGTGCTTTGCAACATTTGTGATTGGCAACATTTCGAGCTTAGTTACTCTAGCACCCGGCAAGAATTGTTGCTTGACAACATTCGAGCTTCTTAACATGCACGTTTGGCAACAACAGGACTTGGCAACTTTTGCGGTTGGCAACATTTTCAATTTACTTAGCTACATTAATACTCGGCAACAATTGTGTTTGGCAACACTCGATCTTGGCTACATTACTTTATGGCAAGATGCACGTTTGGCAACACACATCAACAGAAGACTTCGCTCTAACAAGGCAAAAACGCAAACAGAGGGGCTTGGGTAAATACCGGCCATACAGAGAAAACTGACTATATATATATATATATATATATTTATATGAATATATGTGTGCAGCTATAAGTTAAAATATATTATGTGTGGCGTTATTATTGACTGTCTTATCACTGGCAGAGTCAAGTAATTCCCCCACGGGTACATCACCGAAAACATAAAATAAATGTAACCAAGTATAACGACACTTGTATACTCTTTCCAGCTAAGCCTTTTAGTTTGCCAAATGCTGGAATCCAAATAAATTCTAATATGATCTATTTCCGACCTTAGAGTGCGTTTTGAGCTCTGTTACAAACGTTTCAGCATAGCAAATATACACTCAAAGTATAGAGTAAGTCATTCGGGCTATTTAAGCAGCTCGCTTGCTGAGAGAATCTCAAAAGCTGAACGGCAAACAAGATGAACGCAGCAGCAATCAAGTTTCTGGCAATCGTAGCGCTCGCCGCTGTTGGTAATTAATCATATGCAATAGTCAACCTATGGGACCTCTGGCTAATCATCCAAATCTTTAATAACTTATAGCACTGTGCGCTACGACGCAAGCGCTGACCATTGAACCCCGCAGCAGTTGGGGCGCAGTGAGTGCGCGTTCGCCCTCGCGCATCAATGGCGCTGTGGAGTTTGTGATCATCCATCACTCGGACAATCCCAATGGATGCAGTACGTCACAGCAGTGCCAGCGCATGATCAAGGCCATACAGTCGGACCACAAGGGTCGCCGCAAGTTCAGCGACATCGGCTACAACTTCATTGTTGCCGGCGATGGCAAAGTGTACGAGGGCCGCGGCTTCGGACTGCAGGGCTCCCATGCGCCCAGCTACAATCGCAAGAGCATCGGCATTGTGTTCATTGGCAACTTTGAGAACAGCGCGCCCAGCTCACAGATGCTGCAGAATGCCAAGGATCTCATTGAGCTGGCCAAGCAGGGCGGCTACCTGAGGAGCGACTACACGCTGCTCGGCCATCGCCAGACGAAGGCAACCGCCTGCCCCGGCACAGCGCTCTACAATCAAATCAAGACTTGGCCACACTGGAAGGACATATAGTTTACACACTTGCAAATAAATAAATATTATTAATTTTATATACTATCTATACACTTGGATTATAATTTACTTAAAACTCTGTGTGTTGGGGCACAATTCACGTCATTCGTTGGCTTGGAATCAAACTCAATTTATTTAGTTGATATTTCATTATCTCTTTTAGAATTAATCTCAATTTCTAAGCTCCAACTAAATATATGTAATTAATTTGTATATATTATATATAACACGCTTCTCTTCAAGCTGTCAACAGAATCAAACTGTTTCAGCAGAATTCCAAATTTTCATTGATTGGAAAGCTCGAATTATATCTCATATCATGAAACTTGATCTGATATTTTGAAACAGTTTTTGTCAACTGTTGATTTGTGGATATATTACTTAGGCTAACTAATAGATCGTGGCTTTAAATGTGGCCTTAAGTGGAATCTAGTTCCGAATCAACTTCAACTTCCCATCCCTATCGATTCCACTCAGTTGTATAAATCAGACACGTCAATCTTTGAAATCCACTTTTACGCGTGTCAGCAAGCTGTCTAAATATTTAGATCTGCACACAAATTCCTGTTATTGATAACTTAGTACAGTACAGTAGAATCTCCAATGAATGGAAACTAATGGTTGGCCCCAAATCCGAAATCTCTGCAAGTCTTAACTAACCAGAGTCTACAAGTTTGTATAGAAAATGTCTACACAATGTGATATTCTAAAAAAAAAATCAAATATAGCAGACTGCAGAAGGCCTGCACTCTATATATAAGCCTACATATTCTTGATCAGATAGACAAGCTGAACTGGAAGTGTTGAGGGTCTATTCAAGTCAAGCATTCCCCACTCTTCCGCCTTTTATTCTATAAATGCAAATATAAAAAGTCAGAGATTGGCTTATTAATAAAGCAGTTCATCTAAGCAGATTTCACTGTACCCAATCATACAACCAGATCTCCCTAAAAAAGAAAATATTTATGAACAAATTAATATTTGATGAGCAAATAATTAGTGGAAATTATTGATACAGCTGCCATGGAATTGCAATATATATATAAAAATATGTCCAATCGAGAAGAAGAGCCAAGCTTAAGCAATGCAAATGAGCTGGCCTTGAGCTGCACTCAGTCCAAATGGGCTCAAATGGGCTTAGCCATGAGTGACTAAAAAGGGCTCAGCTCCCCAAATGGGCGATTGCATGTGAAAAGCAAATGCATTGGAGCTGACGCAATGCCAGGGTATATAACTGGCTAAGCTGGTGGCAACATGGAACAGTGAACAGCTAGCCAGCGGCAACAGCGACAGCAAATCCTCGCCAGACACCACTCAATATGAAGCTGGTAAGTGCCGGAGGAGACCTACTCCAGAGAGTACCTCAGCTAATGCATTATTTGCAGCTCTTCTACAGTTGCCTACTGCTGCTGCTGGCTGCCGCCGCGGTTCAGGCCAGCGTTATACCTGCCAGCACTGGCGTAGCCATTCCGGCACCGGCGCTGCTGCCCGTGGCTGGGAGTCATCAGTTCGTGGCGCGCAACTACAATGGCTACTATGTGCCAACGACGACGGCCACAGCCTGGCCAGCTTGGACGTCCTATCCGAGTACCTACTATAAGTACAGCGGCGGCTATCCCACCTACACCTATCCCAGCTACAGCTATCCGTATGGCTACTATCCCAGCTATGCCAGCTATCCCAGTTATGGCTACGGTTACAAGAGCGTCTGGTAAGGGCTGACAGATGGGAAGGGTACATGCATATCTACTTATGTGATAATCGACAACTTGACCAAATTATATATGCTAATTCATAGACTATCTTAAAGGAATTATAATAAAGTACTAAAAAATTAAGCCTTGCGGAAAGTGAAATTAATTCAGAAGGAATTATACACATTTATTTGGGCCCAGAATAATGATAAGCTGAAGAGTTACAAATTAAAAGATAAAAGGTGCATTGCCTGCAGCCAGTGGGCCAAAGCGTGGAAGCCCAAAGATAGAGGGAAAAGCAGCCAAGCCTGAAGGAGTGGCTAGCAGACGAGCAGCGGGCGCAAAGGCTGCATTGAGTTGGTTAAAGTAGTCCAAGCGCTGGCTGCTCGAGATGGCTAAAGGAGCAGCAAATGGAGCCGGTAGACCTGTAAAGGCAGCGGCTGCTGTGGACAAGCCAGGAGCGGAAGGCAGCAGAGCAGGCTGAGCAGCAGCCAGAGTAGCTACCAAAGCCGGCAATAAAATGAAGAACTGAATCGGAATAGACATTTACAGATTTTCAATTAGTTGTATTAGCATTAGTATTATAACTTTGGCTGCTTTGATATAGCTGACTTCAGACTCCTTAAATCGGAGATATTCCATACTTGATCTACCCACCTTGAGCTGCATGTTGTAAAGGATTTGCTTGCGAGTGACTTCAAATGTTGAATATGCAAAGAGCTGATGTTGCGTTTGGCTTTTATACCTGAAAGGCTTTTAGAGCTGAAAGGCCTGGCAGTTCCTCACAGCTCGTCTGGGACGTATTTGGCAGAACAATTAGGTAAATTACATGCGATTTGATATCTATCTGTAGATGATGTGGTTACGACATGGCTTAGTCCAATTTTGGAACAAACTCTGATTGTAGCTTGGCTTGAATTTGGGCTAAACCCAAATGCAGCTAAAAAAATAACAATAAAATTGATATAAAATTTATGAAGCAAAAGAACTTATGATGACAGAGCTCCATAAGGTTATTAGAGAAGTCTTAACTGAAGTCTGTTGCTATGTAAAAATAAATCTGGAAATAAAATAAAACTCTTTGTTTTATATGCTCGCTTCACGTTTTTAATTGATAGAACAAATATAATATTAATAATAATAATAATAATAATAATAACTATGGTATTCGTACTCGTATTGTATAAATGTAAATCATATTCGTATATAGCTCGTATATATCTCAATATGTTTATAGCTGCTTGGGTTACGTGTTACCTGTTGATCGTTCAGTTTTGTTCGTTTTGTTTGTTATAGGCGCTTCAATATGTGTATGTATACGTATGTAGTCGATTACGTCTCTATATGTATGTAGTTAAATAATAACACTTTAGGCTAGTTACACTTTGTATGGTATGTGCCAGACGAGTTTGCATGCAAAATGCACTTTGGATAGTTATTGTTGATGATAATCATGATAATACATATGTATATATATAACACTAAGCTAGACGACATTTAGCATAGGCATTAATTAGTTGCTTTCGTTACTTAGAGGATGAGTATTTGGATTCAAATAATGTTAATGTACGTAACAAACGCTCTATTAGTTATCGTAATCGTTAATCGTTACTGTTATCGAATTAAATTTAGCATAAATAACTAGGTTAGTGGTTGAAATAGTTGCAAATCTCTCAATTTTCTTTATATACAATCATGACTCGACTTCAGTTAATAGCTAATAACAGCAATTGATGTTCTTCGCAGCGCCATCTAGCGGTCGATAGATAGCTCGGGCAACGCAAGTCGGCTTGTTTACCAAAAATCAGAGGTCCGTAGGCTACATAAAATCACAGTCTATTGTTTAGTCTAAAATATATGTGTATATGGCAAATGAATTTGACTAGACCAACAGACAGACGATTACTGAATTGGGTTGCAGAGGGAGGCGAGGAGAGGACTTGCTCTACCAGAGCACGTCGTAATCGTAGACATGCTCGGAGGAGGCTATAATCAGACACTTGACGAACTCATCAAAGGTGCGTTTCAGTTTCCATTTTCTCGGCTTGCGCAGCAGCTGCAGCGGCTTCAGCTTGGTCTTTCGCTTGGGCTTCAGCTCGTTCGCCTCGTGCCAGGGACTGTTCGAGGTGGAAGTGGACTTCGATTGCTTCTGCGGCACATTAATGTAGTCGTGCAGGCCGAGCTGCCGCTGCCGCTGCCGCTGCTGGTGCAGCACTTGCAGCCGCTGCTCCTGATAGTAGTGATTGAGATTGGTCAAGTAGTAAAAGTCGCCATCGTTGATAACATCGATTTCGGCGTAGTTGCCGCCATCGCTTTCTGGCTGCTCGGCGATTGCGATTGCTGCTTTGCTATTGCATGATGCCTTGGCAAAGAGTTGGTCAAATCACATGTTTTCGTCGAACTTAGCGAAATTGTTGTCCTCGTTCCACTGGAACTTGTTGGCATCCGCATTGTTGCCGTCCTCCTCCTGCCCGGGAAGCGGCTGTTCGTCGGGCGACTTAAAGAACTCGTCGTCCTCGAAGGGATCCTCTTGCTTTTTGGCAAATATATTAACCGATTCGGATTTCTTGATCAGCTCCTGGCGCTGCTGCAGCTTGCTACTTCTCATGTTCTGCTTACGGCTGGAAGCCGAGGGCGCTGCCGGCGAGGGCTGCTCTTTGTCGAAGTCGAACGAGGCCTTGGCGAAATCATCCTCAAAGGCGGCATCATCGAACTGCGATACCTTCACGTTGTCATCGAAGCGCAGCTTCTGGGTTATGGGCGGCGTCTGGCTGGGAGCGGCTTCCAGATCGAAGTTATCATTCCGATGCTGCAGCTGCTGCTGCTGCTGTTGCTGCTGCTGCAATTTCTCGCGCTCGGAGAAGTCGTTGGAGAAGCGAAACAGTGACTTGGAGCCCACCGTGCTGCTGGTCGAAATTAGTCCAGCGGGCGTCGAGTTGCAGCTGGACGCAGTGCCTGCTGGCGCCGGAGGTGGCGAGCTCTGATTGAAATCAGATTCGAAGCCATCATCGAAATTGAATTTAGTCGCAACGCCGACACCGCCGACGCCAGCCGAGGACTCGCCGCCACTCATCATGACCGCCGTGCTGCTGGCATTCGACCTGGGCGTGGGCGTTTGCTCATAGCTATCCACAAATCCATAGTCGCTGTTGGCGCCACGTGGACGGTTCTGCCCGGGCAGCTTGGCCAGTGTGGGCGCGTGGCGCTCTTGCTGCCTGCGCTCGCTCTCCAGCATGCGCTGATGCATCTCGTGGCGCCGTCGATTTAGGCGTTCGAATTTGTCCTCGTCCGTGGGCGGCTCGTCGTCCACATAGTCCTCGTCGTCGTCGTCATCATCGTTGCGCTGGCAACTGATGTAGTCGTAATTATCGCGTACGCCACGCCCACTGCCATAGCGTGCGCCGACTGTGGCCAAATCCTTGGTGCTGCGTGCGCGCGTCTTCTTGCGGAATCTGCCAAGGATTAGTTGTAACTTGGGAACTGTTTTGACTGACGACGAGCTACACATACCTGCGATCCTTCTCTCCATCCGAGGGCGTTTGGCCCAAAGCTGCGGCACGGCGACTCTCGGCCAAGCGACGCTCCGTCTCCGCAGCGCTGGCTGGTCGTTTCCAGGACTTCTGTCCAGGCGGCGCGGGCTCTAAGGGCAGCGTTGATATGATCTTTTGTAAATAGCAACTGAAGCTCTGGACTTACCCTCACCATCCCACGGGCTGGAGCCGCTGCTCTTGCGTAGACGCTGTGGCGCACCTGGGACCACGTCTCCGCCCAATTGGCTGGGTCTTTGTAGGCTGCGCTGCCTCTGGAAGTCCTGCTCTGAGTCCTGTTCATAGTCAATGTCGCCAGTCACGCGCAGCTTTGCCGACGACGTGGCCGGCTTGCGCAGCGATCGCGTCTTCAGCTCCCGATCCCGTTCGCGATAGTCATCCCGACTGTCCAGGCTGCCGTAGACATCGCCACCACTGCCAAAGCTGCGTCGCCGTCGCGACGAGCTCTCGAAGGACTCGACGCTCTCATGATCGAATGACTTGCGCTCCCGCTCCCGTTCCCGCTCCCTGTCCCTGCTGTCCCGCTCGTAGAGGTAATCGGGCCGTGCCTTGTAGCCCATCCCCATAGGCGAGCGTCGCTCATCGTAGACGTTCTCGTAATCAAAATCGTAGCCCGGACGCGCATAGTCCCTGTACTCGCGATCACGATACTTGGACCGTTCGCGTTCGCGTTCGCGCTCGCGGGGCAGAGGCTGCCCGCGCTTGTCGTATATGGGCGCTGGCGGACCATAGCTGGAGCGCTCGTAGGCGCTGCGCTCAAAGGAACGCGCACGCACGCCCTGCTCGATCTCCTGCGGCGACCAGGTGTGATGTGCCGGATGATGGTACCAACTGGGAGAGTCTGCAATTGAGCGTGGCAAGTAAGAAAGGGATGCCTGGAAGGGAAGGGAATGCTGACACCTACCCAGCTCAAAGTTGTCTCTGCTGCGGGAAAGTCCATGCTTAAACTTGCGTTGGGCATGTTCCCGATCGCGGCGAGCGCAGAGCTCTGCATCATAGCTGAAAGTGGAGAGGGCAAATGAATTTCGCATAGCTCGATTGGGCAAAGCAGCGCCCATGTCTGCGACTTACTCGTAATCCTCGTCGCAGGAGTTGAGGCGGCGAGCGTGTCGCATGTAGTAGCCATGTGCATGTGGATGCGGTGCCAGCTGCGTGGGCGGAGGCAGGTTGCGGCGCTGCTGTTTCAGATACTCGGGCGTCTCATCGTCCCAGGGACTGAGATCTCGCGAGGAGGAGGACGTCTGCTGGCGTTCCTTTTTGGCCCAACGACGCTGTTGCTGCTGCTTCGACCAGCCGCCGGCATCGTCGCGCGGATCAGAGCTGCACGGTGACTCGGCGGTGTCCTGCTGCGATGTATTGGATGCGGGCGGAGGCGGCAGAGTAAGGCGTGCCTTGCCCTTGCCGCTGCCAATGGACGGGCCGGACATCTTGGGCGAATCAAAGGTGGCCCAGGAGGGCTTGTCCCGATCGCGATCCCGTTCGCCCTGCATCTGCTTGGTAGCCGTGTCGATTAGCTGGGAAACCGCCGAGAGCTGCGAGGGAACTGGCGAGGCAGCCGCCTGGTTCAGTATTGGCGCTGGCGATTTCTGTAGGGGAATTGGCGAGGTGCTCACATCGTTGAACTGCGATGGGGTGTGGAGGCTATGTGCTGGCGGGCCGCGAGATGGCGCCGCCGAGGATGTGGCCGGGGAGATGCGATCACGTGAGTCGAGCGACAGATTGGAGATGGCGCGTTGCATCAGCTCATCGATTTCAATGTCATCTCTGCCCGTCAGGCCTGGACCACTGATCACCGTTAGGAATTTGTTGTCCTGCTTGGGCGGCAGCAGCTCCTCGGACTTGAACTCGGGCTTCTCGGCGCTGGTGGACAGCTTCTCGTACTGATCCTGTGCGCTGACCGGCTCTGCATCTTTCTCATTGCTGTCCATGCTGCTCTCGCCGCCCGCATCCTCGTCGTCATCGTCATCATCATCGGCCACGGTCAGAGCTGACGATGATGGCTCGGCGGGCAGGCCGCGGCTGTCGACGAGGCCACGTCTGTCGTGACCGCTGTCCATGATTTGGCGTATATCCTGATCCTCGTTGAACTCGTCGCTGAACAAATCCTGCAGCAGATCCTTCTCAGCAACGACCGGAGCTGGAGCAGCGCTTGGCGGCGGCTTGTCGAACAGATTCTCCACCAGAATTATGTCGCGCAGCGCCGCATAGCGATCCTTGGCCTGGGCCACCACTTCAGTGATTTTGGTGTCTATCTTGGGCGGTGGCGGCTCCATCTCCAGCTCAGTCACATCCATGTCCAGCTGGGCAAGCGGCTGCTGCTGCTGTTGCTGCTGCTGCTGCTGCTGCTCCTGTTGCGCTTCGTCCACTGGCGGCGGCGTTAGATCGCCCATCAGATCCGTCTCCTGCTGCTGCTGTTGCAGTTCCTGGTCGATTATTTCCCGGAAGACCGCGTACCGATCCGCTGGCGGCACAGCAGGCGCGGCTAGGCAGGCAGGCGGCTCATTAAAGTTGGCAAAGTTGGCCACAAACGCCTCCTGGCCCACATCCTCACCGAAGGTATCGTCGAACTTGGCCACAAACGAGGTCTGCTGATCAAAGTTGACCTTGAACACGGCTGCCGTGCCGGAGGAGCTGGCCGTGGCCGGTGACTGCAGTGGCTGAGCGGGACTCGCACGGGATTTGGCCTGCGTTTGGTCATTGCTCGACTGCAGATACTCGGACAGGTAGGCGGTCAGCTGGACCAGGGTCATAGTGCTCAGCTTGCTGGCGGGCACGTTCAGCTTCAATGCCAGCTCGTCCATGCCCAGCGTGAGCAGCTGCGTCAGCGTAATATCGGGCGCCAGTGGTGCTGCCGCTGACTCCTTCTGCGATTGCGCCTGGGCAGCCTGGGCCTGCAGTATCTCCGCCTTGTTCTCGTAGATGTCCTGCGGACGACCCAACGAGGCTTGGCGCTGCGGCCTCGCGCGGCTGCTGCTGCTCTGCGTGGGCGGTGGCAGCAGCGGCGGTGGCGTGCCGCCCAACGGCGCCAGATAGTCGTCGTCGGTGTGGCCAGGCTTGCGTGGTCGGCCCGGACCGGGAAAGTTGCCGTCAGAGCGGCCGACGCGGCGGGAAGGCAACGGAATGGGCGGCGCATCGGCGCTGCGGCGCAGCTGGTTGCTGGTATGATTCAAGTACTCGTAGCGACCAACAGGTGGCGCCGTGGGCGTGGGCCTAATGACCAGGTCGCTGAACTGCTTCTTGGGCGGCAGCGGCGGCGGCTCGGCATAGGGCGTTGAGTCGGGCCGTGGCGGCGGCTCCGGCGCCGCCTCATTCTCGCTGAGAGAGTCGCTCTCCTGCAGGCGGCGCATGTTGACGCTCGAGCCGATGCCACTAGCGGAGTCGCCGCGCTTCGAGAAACGCGCCTGGCCAAATAAATGCGGCATCTTCTTGTTGCTAATGCTTGAGATGACATCCAGGGGACCGCCCACATTGACGACACTGGCCACGGGCGTGGGTCGATGACGCACACTGCTGTTGAGTGGAAGCGGAGCCGGCTCCAGGCGCGAGATGTCCGCCTGCCAGCCATCCGACGACTGCGACGGCTGGTGCTGGTGCTGGTGCTGCTCTGGCGGCAGCTGCACCTGGAGTGGCCCATTGAAAACACTGCCGGCAGCTGCTGTGCTGGCTGGCGGCTGTGGCACATCGAACTCAAAGGCATCCAGCTTGGCAAAGAGATCGCCATCCTGAAATGGATCCGGATCGCTCTTTTTGCGCGTGGGTGAAAACGGATCTGTGTCGCGTGGCAGCAGCACGGGATTGCTATCCGGATGCTCCTCCAGGGGATTGTTGATCGTGGGCTCTGTGGTATAATAGTTGACGGATTGGTTAATAGGCTTGGACAGGGCTGCGCTCTGACGTAGCATTAGCTTTAGCTTAGCAGCCGAAAAGTCTTCGACTTGGCCAAGATAGAGAGACGGAGTTTGAGTCTGCGAGTGGGAATGAGGCTGGGAGAGAGACAGGGAGTGAGTCTGGGACTGGGACTGGGACTGAGTTTGGTGCTGGGGCGTGGGACTTGGCTGGGAACGGAAGCTGCTGGAGCTGTTTGTTAGTAGCAGGTGGTGTTGCCCAAGGCTTGCGGTGGTTATTAGTGGGTTAGTTGTGGTAGTTGTGGTGCTGCTGCTGCAACTGGCGGCGTTTCCTGTGCAAGTGCAAATGTTAGCTGTGTTAGTAATTGGGGCTGTTTCATGGGCGTGGTCAGTACCTGAGCCAGCAGCAGTTGCTGCTGCTGCTGCTGCTGCTGCTGTGTTAGTAGTTGTCGTTGTCATTGCTGCTGTTGCTGTTGTTGCTGTTGCTGTTGCTGTTGTGGTGCTCTCCTCAAAGATCGAACTATCCCTGCCACCGAGAAAATCATCAAAGTTATCGCCCTGACTGGAGCCAAGCTCCTTGAGCAGCTTCTTGGGCGGGTTCTTAAGCTCTTGGAAGAAATATTTCTTATCGACATAGGGCCGTGTGCGCCCAATGCCCAACGGATCCAGATCTGTGAACGCATCTGGCACAATTTCAACAGAACCAAAGCGAGACAGAGAGAGAGGGAGAGAGAGAGAGGAGAGAGAGAGAGGCAGACTTGCATCAGTCGCTGTTCGCAGAGACTCCACGTAAAAAGCGTGCAATTTGTGTCAAAAAACTCAAGAGAACAAATTTAACTGAAGGACTTTAAATCAAGACTAACTACAAATAGAATGCGCAAAAACAACAACAGAAACAACAAAAGGAGCATTGGCTTGTAGGTTAGTACTTAAGACTTAATATAAAATGTAGCTTTTAAAAGAGCTGCACAGACACGACTTTAAGAGCTGAGGGACAGCTTGTTGAAGCTAAGCAAATAAGGTTTACAGCTGCTTAACATTGGCTTTAAATGTTCTTTACATATTCTGTTAGGCTAACAGCAGTTAACAGCGTTCTGTATATAACAGTTGCACGTCCTATAGACTCTGAAATGTATCTCTGTAAATAACAGAGTTGCCTTTATTGCAGAGCCCGTACAGATCAGTGAACGACTAACAGACAGTCAACTGCTAAGCAGAGTTAACAGCACAAGCTAATGTATTATAAAGCTAGACTCAAACATCTAGTACTAACTATATTTTTGAAAATATATTTATATAAGACTTTAACAGCAAACGCTTTAGCTTCAACTCGACTTTTAAATGCATTGCTCTTGGTAATTGCTTTCAGTCTACTAACTGCTGCAGTTAAGGCTAAGCTAAGGCTGTTCTGCTGTTAGCTGCACATTTGAGCAGCAGACTGCAACTTAACAGAGCATGTTACTGCCTTAGCAGCAAGGAAGTGCTTTACCCTTACATTAACATTTTAGCTGCTGTTCACTAACAGCCAATCTAAACGATCTGCTGCTGCTGTTAACTGAATACTTGATTACAATATAATGTGAATTAACAGCAAGCAGTTTCGATTCGTTTGCTAAATGAATTTTCTTTCTTTTTTGCTTTTATTGCTTTCAATGGATGTCATTTTATAGCCCCGCCCAGCGCAGCCACGCCTTAAGCTGATATCTGTTCGCTGTTTAAGCTAGTGTATTTTGCTATCTCGCTGAACACAGCCAATTGACTGCGACTCATTGAGCTCATCTGCCGAGTCTCAGTTGACAATTGTCGCGGCTGTAAGCCATGACCTGCAACCCCTTGCCCCTTGCCCCTTGCCCTACTGCATCCATTGTGAATGGCAGCTCTCTTATGGCAATCATTTTTCTTAACGAACTTCGTTTTTGTAAAGAACTCACCCGACATGACCGCTGCTGCAGCTGCTCCCCCGCCTCCCGCTGTCGCCGACGTTCCATTGGCTGCGCTCTCCGCCTCTGCTAAGCTGCTCAGCGCACTTAGCCCAACATCGATTGCTGCTGTTGCCGCAGCTGTAGTCATTCCCCCTGCTGCCGTTGTGGACGCTGCTGAGAGTTCGCTGATTTGCTGCGTGGGCGTGGCCGAGGATTCTCTGGCTGCCAACGGAGCCATTGGCAGGCTGCCGAGCACAGCGGCAGCTGACATGGGCGTGGGCGTGGCCGACACCTTGGTGGTATCGAAGACATCGTTCTGCTGCTGCAGCTCGTGCAGCCAACTGTCATCGTCATCCGTCGCCTGCAACGTGGCCGGTGAGCCACCAGCACCAGGTGCCGGCGACAGCAGCGTGTCCAAAGCTGCGCTCTCCGGCGTCTTGCTGGGCTGTTGCTGCTGCTGCTGCTGCTGCTGCTTGTGACGTGTGCGTCCGGACTCGGGTGGCGGCGGCAAGATGTTGTACGAGGGCACATAGATGAAGGAGTCTCCGAACGGATCATCCTCGCTGGCTGACTTGGCCAGGCCATGGCCGGATTGGGCTGTGCCTGGCTCATTGGGCGTGATGCGCTCCATTTGGCTAATGCCACGCTGCAGCGAGGTCAGCTCTTGCTCCAGATCCACCAGGTCAGCTACAGATTCCGGCGAGACCTACAGAGCGAGCAGAGATTAGTGAGACTTAGTGGAGCCTTAGCTGTCGCTTACCTCCTTGGCGGCTCCGCCCTTATTCACATCCAGATTAACCCCTAGTCGGGTTAAGCCAACTCCGTTCGAGGAGTTCCCACCCAGCATGCTCAGGTTGGCTGCGTGCGCTGCGGCGGAGGAGCTGCTGCCGGAGGCGAGTTCGTTGTGGCTCGCTTTCAGCGAGGACAGGGAGGCCAGTTGGGTGGCATGATCGTGCATGGTTTTGCCTTGGATCTGCTGACGCGCCATTTCGATCTCTTTCTTCTTCAGCTCGAAGACGACCTGGAAGAGATCGCGCATGGCCAGCACCACCTGGCTGGCCGCCTTGTCCGTCTTGATGCCGAAGAATCGATGCCCGCTATCCGGCGAACCAAATATGTAGCCAAAGGCACGCGAATCTGTCATATCCTGTGCTATGAACGAGATCTTGTGCACGGGATGATGATAGAGCGAATCGCTGGTCTTCTCGTCGCGCAACCTCAGCCCATCGATGGTCACATGGATGATGATGCGCTGCTTATGCTCGCCGGCAGCGCGTATGGCCATCTTCAGGTCCTGCAACGCCTCCTGGCACATGCGATCTCCACGCGCCTCGCCCACTTCCAAGATGCCAATCAGCTTGGCCTTGAACTGGACGCCATCGCCAAAGAAACGGCCGGGATCATTCCGATCTGCAAATGCAAATTATTATATGAGTATAGATACATAGATATGCATATGCATGTGGCTGTGTGTGTGTATCTGTGTGTGTGTGTGTGTATCTGCTGGAAAAACAAACAAACGTTTTGCGTAATTCGTTTCCTCAGTGCCGCTGCCAATGCCAAAAGTTTGAGCCAGAGAAAGATTCGAGGAAGCTTGCAGCTTGGACACCAGCGATTTGACCATTTTGTTAGCCACAAGCGCAGCTCAGAGCATGCTGAGCCTGTGTATCTATGTGTTGCTGTATTTGTGTGTCTGCGTGCGTGTGTGTGTGTGTGTGCTCGAGTGACATTCAGGGCATTTCCATGGCACAGACAAAGGCCAACAATGCGCACAAGCACCAACAATAATAACAAATGGAAACGATTTGAACGCGACGTATTTTATTTAATTTAAAAAAAAACTGGCGGAAAATATTGAAAAAAAAAAACAGCAACAGAAGCAAAATGCGAGAATGCGCCCGCATTCGCAGCCGCTACGATTCGCGCTCTGGGAATGAATGAATGACGACAGCGCTGCGCACTGCGGACTGCGAGCTACGAGATGCTGCGGCCGCTGCTGTGGGAGTGGGCAGAGCAGAGCACAAACACAAAACACACATATACACACGTGCACACACATGCACACACGCAAACACACATAAAAGGCACTGGAATTTTACTATTATTTTGCAGTATATTCAATGCAAAAATGAACAACAACAAAATGTGTGTTTAGAGAGCGGCAAAACGTAGAGAGAGAGAGAGAGAGAGCGAAAGACGGAGTGAACGTGCGCGCTGTTGTTGTTTGCTAAAAATCTTGACGCAGCTGCACCACCTGCCGACAACGATAGCAGCGGCAGCGATGGCAGCGACGCCGGCGCAGCAGCAGCTGTCGATTAAGTGATTCACAGACGATCAGACAAGCTCGTCATGCAAAACAGGTATATACTTGTTATCGATAATAATAATTAAAAAAATACTTAAACACACTTTACATCTAGAGGACAGGAGAAGACAGAGATAGCAATTAAACAGAGTTTTACAGCAGCAACAGCGACGCCAACAGCGCAGCAACTGTTGGTTAAGTAACCCCGAATGATCAGACACGCTCGTCATACAACATTTAGCGCAGGTAAATAGACTTTTGTGAGATAAGGCAATGATCGCATACTACTAAAAATAACTATACATACAAACAAGAATAAAATAAACATAAATACTACTACTGTAAATTACCTATTATACAATACAAGATAATGTGTACCAAGAGAGCAAGAGAAAGAGAGCAAACGGAGTTTACGACAGCGGCAGCGACGCCGGCTCACCAGCTGTCAGTTAAGTGACACCTACACGATCATACACGCATATCATACAGTGTGCTATCGATACGTCTTGAAACAAAATATGTTTAGAGTTTTAATCAAATTCAAATGCAACTTACATTTACACGGACTCGTTTTTTTGCGCAGCGTTTGCATGGTTGCTAATATTAACGGGTTGTTTACATTCGCGTAACGTCTAATGGCTGCGGCTTGCTGTCTGCGCTAAAGGCAGCTCAATACGGGGGAAGGTTATTGTATTTTTGTCTCGTCCCTTTTGGGGTTTTTTAAACCGGTCACAGCGTAATTATGTAGTAGACAGGGTGGGTCCTCTTAGTCTACAACATGGGTTGACTTTTGACATTTGACCGAGTGAACGCTTCAATCCTTATTTGCACTTGTCTGTATTTTCCTTTATTACTTCCTTTTTGTTCCTTTTTGTTATTGTCGCTGTTGTTGTTGTTGTTGTGGTGGTCGATAGTCCCCGCCGGCATAACGCAGACAACAAAAATACTCAGGTTAAGATTATCGATTTTTCAATCGGCACATTTCTTGGTCGATGCTATTTTTTTAATGGCTTTTTGACGCCTTTAAATATGCAGCAATATTTCAAAAGTTGAATAATCAATAATTTAAGCCAATTGTACACTTTAACCACTGATTTTTATATGTATGTGCTAAATGATGCAATTGAAGTTTAACTACATTTTCCGCTAGACAATTGAGGCTAATTATGGGAAAGGACTTTATTGAAAATTAATTATTTTGCTTCAAATTAACATTTTATTTATCGAATTTATAAAGCCACTGTGACCCTTAATTCCAAGCAAGCGTTTCACTATTTTAAATGTGTTTAATTTAAGATTTTTAAGATTCGTTTAATATCCTTTGCTCTCGGGCACAAAAAAAGTCTCGATAGTAAACTCCAAGGATACAAAAAAGTGGGGTGTTTTTTGTGCTAAGCACCCTGTGCCAGCCGGCACATCTGCTATCGATTGATGGTAGTCGCTTACAACACTGAACGATTGCTATTGCAGCGTGTTAACAGTCAGCACTCACTCTCTCTCGATTATATTAACACCACCACTTGAGCACAACATATTGCTGGCCCCAAAAACGTTTACAGCATGTTATGCGTCATAATTGTTGTTGTTTCGGCGAAGTACAGACGTGTTTATGCGGGTGCGCAGCGTGTAAATTTTTTATATTGAACACAAAATTAACTAATTGATAAACATAAAAGTTGTTGCTACCAATTATTTCACAAGATATTCGACTTAGCAGCATTTTGTTTCATAGCTCAGCTCAGCTGTACAAGCACCTGTCATTGTGCCCTGCCGAATTGGAATCGTGCGCGCGTCGCTTAGCTGCAGTCGGAGTTGAATATTTAAAAATTTACCCGCTTGCAATTAGTGAAAAAGTGTTAAAAAGTATTCGCTGTGCATGTGCTTGCGCGCGTTTGGGTGAATGTGTGTGTGACAAAGCAAACCAGTTGCCATCCAGTTATAACAGATTTTTTGTTTTAAATCTCAGTAGCTATGCAGAATTAAATGTTAATCCTGTCCAAAAACACACATATACCCCAACATTAGTTCATATACATTCTTATACTTGGCTAATAGTTTTTAAGCTGTGTTTTCCTGTTCGATCGCTATGCGAAATTAATTTCGACTTTGTTCAAAGTGTTGCAAAATTCTAAAAATCGGTGTGTGTGTGTGTGTGTATGTTTGTGTGTTCCCCGATTTCCCCCTTTTGAAAAAGCTTACTGAAACGGTGAGAAAATGAATAAAACCTGTGCGCGCTGCCAAAAGGTGGTCTATCCCATCGAAGAACTAAAGTGTCTGGATAAGGTGAGTAACAATTAAATTTTCAATTAAAAGCGTGCAAGATTATATGAATTTGGTTGTTTTTAGTTATTGTGTGTATTGGCATTTTTTTTCTTTCAACTTTTGCTCCTTTGTTTTATGCCGCTGCTTCGCACTTGTTGTATGCGCGCGATAGAGCGAGACGGCTATCTAGTCACATGGCCCGCTGCTCTCATTGATCATGCGTACCGTTTGCTCTTATGTCCGTGTGGCTTGTTTGTTGTTTCTGTTTTATTATCCTACGCAATTCGTGGCCTGTTGTAGGCGCAGCAGCAGCAGCAGCACAACGCAGCGCGGTTTCAATAATTACCAACAACAAATGTGTGCGAATAATAAAAAGAAAAAAGCTGTTCGGCTAGTTTGTGGCGGCTGCGTAGCGCTTCTTGGAATTTAGTTTAAGCAAAATAACGGCACACAAATTGACTGTTTGCGTTTATGTGTATGAGGTTGCGCGGGTGGTTGCTGTTTGTGCAACAAATTTTTCAATTTTCGCCAACTCAGGAAATTGAAAATTGCTTTTAATTTGCGTCGCCGCTGTTTCCGCTACAATTCACTCTTTACCTCCTACCTACCTACCTTCCTCTCTTCTTTGGCAATTGTCTGCGCCAATTTGCGTACATTTTGCGTATGAACAGCGACGATGACGACGACGCCACCGTCAACGAACCGTTGCAAACTTGCAGCGCAGCTTTTATCTCAGCTTTCTGTGTTGGTTCTTCAAAAGAAATACTTTAAAATAAATAAATAAGCAATCCGTTGACTGACCTTGAGCGCATATTTTGTTTCCAGTTTCGCATTCTCTTTCACACACACTCCACACACACGCAATGACAAGCTTTACGGTCATTGAGTTGCTTTCTTCTTGTGCTTATTGGTTTATGCTTAATTCCAGTTTATTTTTATTGACCAGCTGTCCGTCTGTCTGAGCTGAGCTGAGCAGCACTTATTGTTTTGCTCTTTCGTTCGTCTTGTATCTTTTTTGCCATTCCAGTTTCAGCGAGCTTTTACTCAAAATAGTTTAAGTACTCACGTTCTTCGGCTCTTCGAACACTTCTATTGAGGAAACTACAAAATATATATATACAGACAGAGATGTTTATATTTACATATGTAGGTATGCTGATAAGACATTGATTGCCTAGGGACAAAACTCAATTGTCATTTCATCATTCGTCAAATTCCATTCGACAGCCTTGTTGTAATCAGCTCCAACTATCAGCAGTTGCGACGTGTGTTCCACATCGTCTGTTGCTGCTGCCGCTCTTAAGCGTTTGTCTAATTATAGTCAAGATGTGCTACGTGTTCTTTTTCTATCTCTATCTCTGTCTAACACACACACTCTGCCAATCTAATTTTAGATGTGAAGTAATGAAAACTATTTAAAGACAGTTATAAAATATGCATGAGGCCTAATGGAAATGTTGAAACGTGTAAATAACTCGCACAGATTTCGAAACTTGACGAAACTCGACAACAACAATGCCAACGCAGCATATATTTATGTATACAGTAAAATGTTGAATGTTCCTTTCGGCTCGTTGCATTTTAGTTTACATCCCTTTGTATAACTTGTCTCATATAACGCGCTTCTATGTCCGTGTCTGTCTGTCTCTTTGCGTTTGTGTTAGGGCATGCAGAACAATGATTACTGTATTCAGATTATTAACAATTGTATTTTATAACAATTCTTAGATAACAAACAAATTGACTCAGACCCACTGCTGGGGCTTAGCGTGTTATTTAATAAACAATAGAATTGTTTATGACGCATACACATACATTGAATCAGCAATGCACAATATTAATTTCACTTATTTGATGAGTATTTGTTTTAAAATATACGGTTATCTATTCAATTATATGTGAAGTATTGTAAAAATACGAAACAGAAAATTCGCATTGAAATGGAAATAAAATTGAATTGAATCAAAATAATTAAATTTAAACACAGAATTGAAAATCTATTTGAGATTAAGTTTTATACAAATTTAAATTTTATGTTAATTAAAATTTGTGGAAGTTAGCGGATGACTACAATATTGAAAGCTATGTAATCTATAGTGAAACTCTTTATTACGCTCTCTCTTTAGGCATATGCATCCTTCTTTTCCTCCCTGCATCTCTCTTACTCACTCTATCCCACATCTAAATTTCTTAGTCAAAAGTTTTGTGCCAATTCGTTTGCGGTTGTCGCTTAATGCACGTGACATATCCTGATATAGAAATCGATACGCGTGACAGTCAATAAACGGGCATTTTATACCAATTATCTAACTACACACACACAGAGAGGGGGAACACAGTGAAAAGTTTTGCCTTCTAAATGAAATGAAGAAATGCTTTTTAAATGCCGTTAAAAGTTGAGCAGCGCTGCTCGCGTTCGCTGCCGGCGCTTTGTTAATCGATTTTTGATACCAAACTTCACTCAACTTGTCGCCGTTCGCCGTTGCAGTTGCAGTCGACGTCGACGTCGTTGTCGCTGTCGCTGTCGCTGGCTCCAGCGCTGCTTCTGCTGCTGTTGCCAATTTCATTTATCTGACTCTTTTATTTGGCAAACACACGAAATGTGTGAGTTTTAGTTTTGCCTGCTTGTTATACTGGCTGCCCATTAAAAATTGCTATAAAAAATGGGGAATTATGCATGAAGTTTAAATAATGTATTAGAACAAAGTAAGTCATAAAGTATGTTTATGATTTGCTTACGCAAACGATTCGGGTTGTCTATATATTACTTTACACGCACTATGGAATTTGTTTAAGATCGATAAATATCGATTTCTAGTATTGCTTTACAAATTAGCAGCCATTTGAAGCCACATCAATTAAGCATTAGCAAACAGATTTGATTGATTATGTAGAAGTAATTGGTATATCACAAGATTAAGTTTCTTTACAGGGTACCTCATAGTCGAGTGTTATTCGTTAGTGCTGCTGTTTTGCTTGGCTGCGGCGGCTGCCACGACAGACGATTATTTTATGCTCGCAACGAAAGTAAATGACCTCTTTGTTGTCAGCCAGCCCAGGGGCAGACGGGCAGGTCGGCAGGAAGAGCAGGCTTAACATTTTGGCCAATTCGTGCAGCGTGGCACGAGTCGGCAGTTAGGGTTTGGGCCAGGCAGCAGGCAGGCAGCAGCAACGAAGCGCAGCGCAGCGTCAAATCCAAAACGTCCTCCATTTGCAGCTACTTCGTTTGGCACTTAGGTAGCTCCAAATGTATCCAGTTGGAGCTCTGCCCCAACTGTGGCACACTTTTCGGGCTGTCGCTTTGCTGAATATTTTAATTTTTGGCATTTGCGCCATGACAAATGACTACAGCGACAAACTTGGACGAGCCGACGCGGCCAAGAAGTAAAGTATCTTTAGCTTGAAATCTTATCTCAAATAATTTTACTGTTTGATGCTGCCATCACGTGCGGCACTTGGAAATCGTTTCCGCTTTCCAACTGCCAACAATAAGCTGTAGACGAGTGTTAAACTAGTGATACTAACGAGTCTCCTTCGTGACACGAATGAAGAATAATTATTTATCAAAGAAAAAATGGATGGAGATAAAAATAGAAGAAAGCGTTTATTTTAAAAAGCTAAAATCGAATCAATACAATTACTCATTTCTATAAATATAAAGAAGTATATTGACATGAGCTCATCTCTAGCAATACTCTGGCAACTCCAAATAACAACGACAACCGCATTGACAATGACAATTGGTTTTATTTATTTCTTTTCCACTCTTGAGTGGAACTCTTCAACTCTGAAAGCGAAGTTCACTTTTGCATGACAAACCATTTCTGAGTGCAGCCTGTTCGGCCCCTAACTGCACCGTGTCCCCCCGGTCCTCTCTTTCTTCTCTAGCTCTCTCCCCGCCTCAAGCACTCTGAGAGAAGGGCGCTGCAATTTTATAAACAATTCAGGCATGAAAATAAAAGTGGTCAAGCAGCAGCCGTGGTAGCAGCAGCAGCGACATCGTCGACTTTGACTTATCGCTGCTTTGCATCTCCTTATCTTCATTTCCTTTCTCACACACACACTCACATTGTCATTTCACTTTATGCTTTGTTATTTTGCTGTGAGAACTTTTTGCGGTATTATGCAATTTGTTGCTGGCAGCTTTTACCTTATCTCTGTCTTTCCTTCTTCTACTCTTCTTCTGTTCATTCACTTTCGCTGTGCATCATGCAAATCAAAGCCTAAAGCTTAGCTCTTGGCTTATTTGTTATGCTCCAATTTTTCTTGTAATTAGCCTCGTGGTCGGAAGTTTTGCAACCTATTTTGGCGATTGCCAATTTTTACGTTTGACAAAAAAAAAAGCAGATTTCGGTTGCCAAACGAGGGAAAAAATAGCTGATTACTAATAAAAGATGACCAGAAAAGAACTTAAGAAACTAATCAGGGACGCTTAATAGGGCGGAGTATTTTTTAAAGGGTTTAAAAGGTTTGAAAATTTTAATGTAGTTAACCATAGATACACATATACATACATACATACACAAAATACATACATACATATACACACATATACACACGTGTTTTTATGTTTATGTATATATATATATATATATATATGTGAAAACATTTACATATTTGGTTATATTTCCAGCAAAGTTTTCTACATTTCAATTCTGTTCTCTTCTTTACAATAGTTTTCGTTCGATTTGCTTTACTTGGTTTGTGGCCCATATTTTGCATTGAAAATGGGAAAAAAAAATGGAAAAAAGTAAACTAAAAACGAATTTCTTGTTCAACTCTGAAAGTGGTAGAAGCTAAAGTCGAAGTTGTAATTGCTGCTGGGCAAGCTTTTGGGCCTTGGACTTTTATTCTCTCTTAAGGCATTCAACGGTTGGGGCTTTGGGGCTTTCCCTCAATTAAATGTTGCCCATTGTTATTTTTCAGCACAAACAATTTTGACTAATGACCAAAACTGATGAAGAGCACAGTCTGTGTCAGTGAGTGAGCTTGGCTCATATTATATTTTGGCTACCTGTCCG